TAGATATATATATATATATATATATATATATTATTATTACTTTTCACTTGATGGTTATGTCACAATGCATTCTTAGAGTCAATAAATTGGAACTGTTGTGTTTTATTTATTTCTCCTCAAAGTGGACACCGTGCTCAGACACTTCTCAGACAGCAGTGTTTCTGTAGATGGACCCCCAGAGCAGTGCTGTGGAGGAAGTGTGTCCCGCAGTTGCAGCGATCGAGTTGTTCCACTTGGCCCTGCCCACTCTGGCACTGATGTTGAGGGGTCTGAAACTGCCCCTAGCGAGCCTGTTAGCATCTCACACAGTGAGTCTCAAGAGCACAGCATGTCCTTGAATCAGGTGCTTTCACGTTGTTCATATACTTTATTCATTTCCACATGGAAGTCAGACACTTTGATGGATATGGAAATATAGGCTATCTATAAGTGTGGTTCAGGCATGTATACCATAAATCCTCTCTTTTTTTCTCACCAGTATGTAGCAGGTGGTGGGGGTTGAAGCGGTTAGATTATGTGCTGTACTGTCCAGATGTGCTCACCACATTTCCCACTATAGCACTGCCTCACCTTTTCCACGCATCATACTGGAAGTCCACGGATGCTGTGGCTTTTATTCTTAGACAGGTAAGTACAGTTCTCTGCTCTATTACAAAGGTTGCATAACATATAATACCACAACTTGAGGCAAAAAGACCTGTTTCACCGTATATTAACATCCATCTCGAGTGATCTGAAGTGAGCGGCACTAAATACAGGTGTAAACCATAGACCACATCGCATATGTAGTGTAAACTGTAATTAATCCTCATTTATATGGGACAAGGTAAAAGGAATGCCCACTCACCTGTCAATTATCAAAAGTGCTAAACTTTAAAAGTGAAACATTCTATCATAATTTACTCCTGTTTTACAAAAACTTTTTTTTTTTGAACATGAAAGAAAATATTTTAAGAAATGTTTCAGTGTTTTTCACACAATGGAAGTAAAAGGACTCCAGTGTTGGTTATTCTTCAGAATACCATATTTTATGTTCCACAGGAAAAAAAAGTTTACAGGCTTTGAATAACATGGGGTTAAGTAAATAATGACAGAATTTAGATGATTATCCCTTTAAGATAACATCAAAGTTGCAATTTAACAGAAGTAGCATATTGTGATCCATATTGTGACCCAAGTGATTATAGGGTGGGGTCTTGGTTGAATCCATTGGCTGTTGATGGATGGATCTGAATGAAAACTTGCAGTCCATTTTAAGAAAGAGGCCAATAGGGCTTTTCACACTTGATATTGTTAACCCTGGGTCATCCTAAACCCCGGATTAACGGAATCCTGGGTTATCTGTAATCATGTTTCACACTGCTCATACTATACCTGGGGTTAACTAGAAGAAAGAGTTAAAACTGAACAGTTTTGCTACTCAAGCTGTGTATGATTTTTTTTTTTATATTTATTTGCTTCTTTTCCATTTTGCATTTACTTGTACTTTTACTTTCAATACTTAAGTACGTTTAAGATTTAAAAAATACTTTTCGTACTTAAGTACAATAAATATCACATACTTTAAGACTTTTACTCAAGTAATATTCTAAACTTTGACTTCAACTTCTACCAAAGTCATTTTCTGGTAAGATATCTGTACTTTTACTTGAGTATGGCTTTCAGGTACTTTATACACCACTGATCTTTTGGACATGATTCAAGTTAAAGTCACCCGACAGTCAGCCAATGAGCCAATTCAAATGAGCCTAGGTTAGCAAGGACTCTATAGACCCTCATGACTGTCTAAAGGTTAATAAGTTTCTTTAATATATTATAATAGGCCTTTTTTAATGACAAAGTTTAGTTCAGGTTATAAATTTTGGACCCACTTGTCTTTATATTAAGTGTCTTCAACTACTCTGTACTTCAGTTTAAATTAATAATTTGTTACAGTGCACTTATTGTGTACATGTTTTAACATTGTAACTTAGATTTAGAAAATACTTTCCTGTAATTGCTTATGTAATTAATTTCTGTAGTTACATCTATAATCACACTGTGGACCCAATCTCTACCCCTTAACCCTCCTTTAAACCTAACCAAAATTCTGTAATCATGTTTCACACTGCTCATACTATACCTGGGGTTAACTGTTAATCCTGGGTATTTATCAACAGACGTTTCACACTGTACATTCCGTACTAAATACACACACACACACATATAATACACACTGTACTAAACCCTGGGTTAACATTCTTATTTGCATATTTGCGTTGTCACTGTCACTGATTGGACGAACAGCAGGCAACCTATTTACACGGCTTTTCCCGCGTCTTGCCAGTTATTAAAAATAAATAAATGTTGCAGCGTAGGTCTTTAGCCGTTTTAAGCCTCATGAGACGCATAAAAGCAAGAAAACAAAGACAAAAGTTCATTGATACCCAGCCTCCGTTAATTTGTCAGTCAGCTCCTTAAATACTCTGTTATTTCTGACTGTGCCATCCAATTTGTCTTGAACAGGATTTTCTGACCATAACTGTAAGAATAACACCGTCTTCTCAGCACTCTAGTTCACACACCTTCCGTCTTTTGACATTTCTTACTTTTCTCTCACCAGCTGCTGTTTACACGACATGCGTTTCCTGTTACTGACGTGACATGAGCCTCACTGCTCAATTTCTGATTGGCAGCAAAACGCCAAGCGTCCAGCAGCAACAAGCAAACACCGCTCTGTTTCACACTGAGCAAACTTAGCACCACAATGCGGGGTTAACACCACAAATGCGGTGCTAACCCTGCTCCAGAGCAGGGTTTCATAACCCCAGGTAAAAAGCGGTGCTAACACCACTTTCAAATTACAGGTGTGAAACATTTCTTTACCCGGGGTTAAAAGCTGTGTTTAGAACGATGATAACCCGAGGTTAAGCGCAGTGTGAAAAGCCCTAAAATTAATTTTTATTTCAGGCTGACTTCAAGGTCTTACTGCCAGAACCTACAAGCTGGAGTTCTCATGAATATCACGATAAACTTCGGTTTGTCTCCAGATTTCCCCAAATATTTGCATAACTTCTGGAAACGCTGTGGATTTGCTTTTTTATTCACTCATGCTTGCTGCCTTTCCCTCTAGCATGACAATAGTACTAAAAAGTTTAAAGTTCAGCCATTTCTTCCCTTAAAAGGGTCATATGATGATGCTAAAAATAACATTATTTGGTGTAATGCAATGTGTTTACAGTTTAAGGTTCAAGAAACACATTATTTTCCACATACTGTACAATATTGTTGCTCCTCTCTGCCCCGTCTTTCTGAATTGCGTTGATTTTTACAAAGCTCATCGTTCTGAAAAGCGTGGAGTGCTCTGACTGGCCAGCTATCCAGTGCGTTGTGATTGACTGTATACCTCAAGCGTGTGACGGAAATGTTACACCATATTTGGAAACACAGCGTCTCCACGACATGGTGCCGCCGCAGCAACAATACTACAGCGAGAATAAAAGTTACGCCTTCTTTCTTTGTGTAAACATTTGGGCGGTGTTATGCAAATTTTCCAACACACTGGCGTAGATATGTGGAGGTGTGTTTAAATGAGGCGTTTTAGGAAGGGGTGGACGAGTCTTAACTTTTATAAAGAATATCTCTTTGGGTTTGAGACTTTAGTCTTTGCAACTTTACGAATCTTATATATGCATGAAGAGCTTGTAACACTCAATAGACAAAGGAAAACTTGAAATTGCATCATATTACCCCTTTAACTTGCTTCAGATCAGACAATAACACAGATGGGAATCAGAACGGAATGAAATAGGGCTGTCATCACATGATCAAATCTCTAGGTCACTTTGAAGGGCTGAGAGCAAGAAGTCTGGTTAGCTTGGTTAGCATCGCCCAGTTTGAAGCTGTACCAACACAACTTTCTTAATGAATCAAACTGAACCACAAACAGTTTTTTTGCAAACCAATTTGACTGATTAGATCAAAAGAGATTCTTTTTGCAAATTTTAGCCATTTCACACGTATGTAAAAAACAAAACAAAAAAAACAACAACAACCTGAAAACAGACAGTAGCTACGTAGTTTTCAGCCAGTTTATGAATAAGTGCGTAGTGTAAAGCGTAATTAAGTACACAACTATACTTTCAGGGAATGCAGTACCAGCCAAGCAACTACCATTTAAATAAATGGGAATGCAAACGGGGTAGCTTTCTGCAGCTATTACAGACATCCTTGGTTAAGACTCTCATGAACTTATAGTGACTCACACCTCAATTTGTTAGAGAACTCTACAGGGATGCCATGTCAAACAATGAGCTGCCTTCTGAACAACCGAGGGGGAAAAAAGAGAAGGCCAAACAGCACAGACTATGTAATAATGCTGAAATGCGCCATCCAGTGACAATATTTAGAAACATGTAGAAGTGCATTGATCCGGTCAAAAGATAAGAAGAACTGTGGCTCTTTATGTCTAATGTGTTCAGCAAATGTTGGCTAATGTCATGCCGGAGAGGACACAGACTCATGGGAGCAGTTTTAACAACACATTATTGAGAATTATGTAGTAGAAAGGAGCAGAAAGACAGACTAAATAAATAACATTAAATACAAAAAAAAAAAAAAAAAATGTTCTCATAAGCATACTAAATAAAACACATTTTATAATAAAATGTACAGTGGTGTCTGTGGAACTGCTTTCATTTAAATCTGGAAATAAACATTTTAATTTGAAAAAAAAAAAAAAAATCTGGAATATAAATATTTTTTTAATGAAAATGTTATATTCAATGAGAAAAAAAAGAAGAAAAAAAAGAAAACAAAATAGAAACGTTTTTACCATAGTGGTCTCAGACATTCACTCAGATTTGGGATTAATTCAGACTAAGCTTTGAATTTATAAGACTGGGAATTTACAGCATCAATATTTCTGCCACTTTATCAGGTAATGCAATGCGACTGTCTGAAGGGTGGGGAAGGCGATTGTTCGGATGCTATTCCCATCTCTCCATCCAGCCCCCGCGAGAAATGGCTTCGCAGACGGACACAGGTCAAACTACGGGTGAGTATCACGATAATTTACCTGCAATCAGTTAAGATAAAACAATGTTGTACAGTGTGAATATTTATTATAACACACATCTCGTTTACTGGGAAATATATAAAAAATACTTTTTAAAAGCAATTAATAATAATAATAATAGCAATATAGTAATTAAAAAGTAATGACTTTTAAAAGCAATTATTATTATTATTATTATTATTATAAATGTTTTATGTCAAGTCTGCATGTTTGAAAAAAATTAAGCCCTTGCAAAGCACCACGTTTCAAAATATTGTAGTAGTGTTTTATACTACTGTTTGGCGTCTGTAAGATTTTTTTTTTTTTTTTAAGAAGTCTTTTATGCTCACCAAGGCTACATTTATTTGATCACAAATATGGTAAAAATAATACTATTTTTAAATATTATTACAATTTAAAATAACTTCTATTTTTTATATATTTTAAAAATTCAAAGCTGAATTTTCAGCAGCCATTACTCCAGTCTTCAGTCCCACAAGATACTTCAAAAATCATTACAGTATGTGGATTTGCTGCTCAGGAAATATGTCTGCTTGTCAATGCTGAGTTAGTTGTGGTGCTTAATATTTTGTGGAAACCGTAAAATCCATTTCCCCCCCAGGATTATTTGATGAATAGAAAGTTCCAAAGGACATCATTTATTTGAAATCCTTTGTAATATAATATAATATGTATTCACTGCCATTTTTTATCTTAAAGAGCAGGTCATATGGTATTTTAAAGTGTCCTAATATTGTGTCGGAGTCCCCTACAACAGGTTTAAATGCATCTAAGGTCAGAAAACATTGTAATTTTCTCAGAATATACATTTAATATTAGAGTCATTTGCCAATGATTTCGAAACGGTTAGTTCCAAGCAAGTTCGGAGCAAACCCCTCCCTTCCATAAGCCTACTCTGCTCTGATTGGTCAGCTGGCCAAGCCTGTTGTGATTGGCACAGAGAGAAGTCCTTGAGCAAGTTAGCGAGCGCTACCATTGACAAAGCACCTTTACATAGAACAATAATATAGTGCTCTAATCCGTTCTTATAATAATGACATAAAATACAAAAACACTTATGCAAGCGAATCGTGCCCACTGCTAAAGTTTAGCTGCTAAACTGTGAACATTTAAAACAATAATGGTGGATACATTGGCCGAGTGCTAACATGACTAACTGATGAAACAATACAGTTTGTAAACCAAAATATGTCTACTGTAATGTTTGAAGAACAACAGACAAAAGACGCTCTGTCTTAACTTTTAATCAGAACACAGAACAGCTCACAGGCGCACCAGCCTAACTAATTCGCTCGTCTCTCCCGCATTAACCCCATAGCTGCTGGTGCAGCAAAATAAACAGCAATTTCACAATGATTATAAAGTCTGTGTGCTATGCTACATTCTTTATTATTAAAGTAATTAGAACAACGTCACTCTACATTAATCGACACATTCTTGGGAAATAGTGGGTTCACAGCGTATCTGAACTACTTATAGTAATATCATGCTTAACCTAAATCTGCACTAGGTATACATCACAAAAAGAGATATTTTTCAAAAACCCATATGACCTGCTCTTTAAATGAATACCTTTACTCAGAAAGAACGCATTTTAAAAAAAAACTCTTACATTAAACTCTGACTGACATCAAACTTTTGAACAGTAGTGTATGCGATATAAATTATAAGGGGTGATACGAATAAAAGTGTATAGATGAAATTCATGTTAGTGTCAGTCGAACTGTAAGAGCTCATTTTAATCTCCCTTGGCTCAAACTGTATGTAATGGGGGGAACAAGACGTGAGACGTGCGGATCTATCTTCAGGTTTTTATTAGACAGAGACATGGTCATAACAGGCATGGGTCAAACAATGGCAAACGGGTATATTGAGGGCAAGACACAAGAGTAATCC